TAGGGACACGTAATACAATCTTATCTATCAGTCCGATATTCAATAAATATCGAGTCAGTGGATAAGGTTATTACACGTGTATGTGAACTAGTATAAAGAGTATATATATATATATATATATACACACACTCTAATTTTTGGACGGTAGGAGCATCAATATTTCAAAAGGATGACACAGGATATTTTTTATACCATTTACGATAATTCGATGGTACGTGTATCCTTTTTCAGTTAAAAATATTCCGAACTACGTCTCTACATCTGTTCACTTTCCTGTTGTCTTCCAAAGTAAGTCACACTTTTAATAATCTCTTTTTTAATCTGTGCAGTTGTATCCTCTGTATTCACCATTCTCTTTAAATGTTTTCCAATTCCATGGTCTTCAAGTCCCCACATTGTTGTTGCTAGTTCCTTTTCGTGTCGTCCTTCTATCTATGTCAGGCATTGCGTTACCTCTCTTATGTTTACTCTATTACCTAACCACTTTCGTTGTCCTGGAACCATCTCATATCCTCTCTTTCAAGCTAAATTTAAGGTAAGATAAATACTTTCCTCAAGAGTGTACAATGTTAATGATCTATAGTCTTTCAATTATCTTATTAACTTTAAAAGTAAAAAAATTAAAGAGCCAAAAATAATCTTCAAGAAAGAAACAAGTCTACTGTATTTTCACAAGTCATTAATGAGCGCACACGTGCTAACCACAGTTAAAAGTTGCAGTGTCTTGGGAAAACAAACAATTACAGACGATGTAACATCAACACACTTGAATACACGTGAAAAGTTTGAAAACATTTGGGGGGGTTCCCGGAAAGGACAAAAGCGAGGAATAGTTAAGAGAAACACTTAAGAAAACACAAAGGGCAAGATTTTTGTCTCTGTAAATGACATAAAAGAAAGTAACAAAATAGCTCACTTACGGTTCAAACTCCTACATGAAAATGGTAAAACTAACTGCTAAAACACATATAAATGTAAAACAAAACTTCTGCAGATCCAATTAAGCAAAAGTGTCCATCAAAAACCTCTGCCAAGTTGAAACTTCCACAAGCTTACAGCTTGTCCTCAAACTCGGATAGAGGGGTCATCTGATCCTTCAAACCCTTCCTCTTGCGGATATCAAGGACGAGTTGATGAGCTTGTGAGCCAGCTTCCAATGGGTCAGAGGACATCATTTCCCAATGATCAAACACACACTGTGGGAAGGCTTGACCTGAAGTAGCAGCTCTCAAGGTACCTGAAAATCCAAAAGACTCAACAACAGGAAGGTAAGCCTTGATGTTGTAAAGAGGAGTTCCTGGCCTCTGCATCTCCTCAAACACGTGTCCACGCTTCTGATTCAGAACACTATAGATACCACCAAGGGCTTGCTCCGGAGCCTGAATTTCCACAAGGTAAACGGGCTCCAACAGGCGGGGTTTAGCAGTAAGCTGAGAAGCATAGATAACCCTCCTAGCAGTGGGAATAACTTGGCCACCACCCCTGTGAATAGCATCAGAATGAAGAACAACATCACAGACTTCAAAGCAAATACCTCTCATGTTCTCTTCAGCCAATGCACCTTCCTTCGAAGCCCACTGGAAACCAGCAACAACAGAATCCTTAATTTCATTCAGGTACTGAACTCCCTTACACATATCCACCACCATGTTGGGACCAGTTGTCTCAGGACCAAAGCACCAAATCTTCTTTGCAAGATCTTTGTCCCAGCCAAACTCCTCAGCCAAGATCTTGGAACGAACCTTAGGGTCATCCCTAGGGCCAATGCGTCCCTCGTCAATAGCCTCAGCAAGCCCTTCCTCCATTGGTCTAGCCTCCATGTACAAACGGTTATGCTTGTTAGGGGACTTGCTCATCACAGTTCGAGTAGACTTCTCGAGGACCGTCTCACGGAAGGACACAACGGGATCAGATTTTATAATTTCAGCACCGCCCATAAAGTCATCCTGCAAATCCTTCAGACAGATCTCAAGGTGGAGTTCTCCGGCACCAGCAATAATATGCTCTCCAGACTCTTCAATAGAACAAACAACCATAGGATCAGACTTAGCCAGACGTTTCAACCCTTCGACAAGCTTGGGAAGGTCAGATGCGACCTTGCACTGAACAGCTACACGCACAACTGGTGAGACAGAAAACTTCATTGCTCTGATAGGGTGAGCATCGACTTCCTTTTCATTGGTCAATGTTGCATTCTTGGTAATAAACTGATCCAAACCAACCATGGCAACAGTGTTACCACAGGGAACATCCTCAACAGTTTCTTGCCTCTTACCCATCCAAATAACAGTTCGCTGGATATTCTTAACATATAGATCCTTCTTTTCACCAGGAACATAGTTAGGACCCATGATTCTGACCTTCATACCAGTAGAAACCTTCCCAGCAAATACACGACCAAAAGCGAAGAATCTACCCTTGTCAGATGCTGGAATCATCTTTGATACATAAAGCATAAGCGGCCCTTCTGGGTCACAGTTCCTGATAGCATTAGCATAAGCATCATCAAGTGGTCCCTCGTACAAGTTCTCCACACGGTATTTTTGAGCTGTGGACGGTGATGGGAGATGATATATCATCATTTCTAGAAGAGCAGTACTTGCGGGAAGCCAGGTCTGCATCACACGCTTCATCAGTGCCTTTCCCATCAGATCTTTTTCATCAGATTTCATGGTTACACCAAGCTTCTGCAACATAGGCCAGAGCTTATCTTTCTGATCATTCATGCAAGTGTTGATAATCTGCTTGATTGGTTCATAGCAGAATTGAACAAAACCACGCTTGCACGAAGCTGAACCAGTGTTTTTGGTGGTCCACTTTTTGGTGGCAGGGTCAAAAAAGTTCTCACCCCACAGCCTCTCCATCATCTTAGACTCGTCAACACCAAATTTGGAAGCATACATCTTGGCAAAATTGGTGAGAGTGAAAGCCCACCCATGCAACCCAGCGGAGAAAGCAACGGTACCTTTCTCAGGATAAACCTGGACATCACCAAGAAGGGGATCCTCATATGTAGCCATGATAACATTTGCATTCTCAATAACTCTTTGGAATGTCTGATAGGCCTCCTCTCCATCAACCTGAAGCTCAAGGAAACACCTGTCCATCTTGTTAACTGTCAAGACGGGACGAATCCTTTCACCAAGGGCTTGACGGAGCACAGTCTCTGTCTGGACACAGACACCTTCCACACAATCAACCACAACAAGCGCACCGTCAGTAATACGAAGAGCAGCAGTCACTTCAGATGAGAAGTCAACGTGCCCAGGTGAATCGATGAGGTTGATGAGGTACTCGTTCCCATTTCTCTCTCCCTTGAAGTTCCTCAAGGAGTCATCAGTCATCTCGTAGTAAAGTGAAATACCAGTGGACTTGATGGTGATACCACGCTCAGCCTCATCTGCACGTGTATCTGTCATTCTGACATCACCTGCTACTTCCTGAGCAATGATACCAGCAGCCGCCACCAGAGAATCAGTAAGGGTAGATTTTCCTGTCAGGTTAAATATATTGCAGGATAAGAAACTCAAAATCATCTGATAAGTTAAACCATAGATGGTAGGTACCCTATTACCAACGAATAGAAGAAAAACAATAAAACAATATTAAGCAAACAGTAGCACCACAAAAATATATAGGGTGAATTCAGTGCCCAGATATATTCCAGATGATCACTAGACACAAGGGATCATAATTTAAATTACCTTACCTTTACAACAAAGAATTTAGACAACTATTGTAATAATATTTGTACAGTTGCTTACCATGGTCCACATGAGCAATAACAGACATATTACGAATGTTATGCTTGAAGTCCATAATCCTTCGAAGCTCCTCAGCTGTGAACTTCACCATCTTGAATGTTTGTTGTAGCAACTAAGAATTACTTTATTTTCCTGCCATTTGAAACCGCAACAAATGTTAAACATCAATCAAAACACAGTTTATTCTCCCAGAGTCAAAATCCATATGACAAAGCCACCAACTAAAAAAAAGCTAATTCAAGAGATCCATACAAAACACACCATATAACTCTGAAGCTAACAAAACAATTCCTCCTACTTAATTGAATATACGCACACCATAATTTCAAGTCAAGACTCACAAATAAACACAAAATCACTGATCAAAAGATTGTAATTAAGCTTCTAGAACCGAACAGCAGAAACAGAAGGTTTGATGTTTCAAAATTGAGACAGATTACAACCAGTAGTCTACCACTATAGCGCACATCTCTGTATTATGAACATCTTAATTTAAGACGGACATATACAGACACGGACACACACATATATAAGCAGATATATTGTTTCTACAAGGATCATCAGAAATAAAACAGTCTAAACAGATGAATAGCAAGCAGCTTCCGGAATATTAACATGAACTAATAAAAGCCCTCTTAACATTCTCAAACGCAACATCAAATAACATATATCTATTAAAAAAGAGCAGATCTCAAAGGCAACATCAAATAACATATATCTATTAAAAAGAGCAGATCTGGACTAGATCTAGATAAAGTTCCTTCACATTTCATAAAAATATTCATTTCAAACGAAATTTTACCCCGAAAAAATCAAATCACAGCATAGATCAAATGGTAGAAACTGAGAATCTATGAGTGCAGCGAGACGAGAAAGAGGAAATGGTCACTTACTGAGAGGTAGGCGGCGAGTATTGTGAGACCTTACAATTCTGCCGCTATGATAAGCTGAGGTTAAGCATTGTGCGAAGGTATATACCTCTCTTCATGGGCCGCAGCCAGCCTAAAATGGGCCATACTACTATCTTATCTACAATGGGCCTTTAGTGGGTTCATTCATATAAACAAAAGAGAAAAAAATCAGAGGAGATACGTCTTCTTAACACTTCATTGTCATCCTCCACTTACTTTTTCATTATATGACTACAATATTATGTATTCTATATATATATAATTATAATTGTTTGAGTGGGTAGTATAATTATTTCTCCACTTGCTTTTATGCTATCCCCCACTTATTTGGGAATATTGAATTGAGGGGATGAAAAAAATTTAAAATAAAATTGCAGTGATTTAAGTTATTTTTAGTTAAGTGTAGGTGATAATTAAGGTGTTTTATACGTGTAGTAGTTGCTCTTATGTTTGCATTAGCTAAAAAAAAATTGGAAAGATATAAAGACCAAAAGGAAAAGTGAGGAGACCGTAATCTCCTTCCACCATCACATACAAACGTTGATTGAGTCCATCGGAGTGCTGGATTCAAAGCAGTGGCATCAACAAGGAATTCAGGTAATCTTTTTTTTATGCTAAGTAGATTTTGTATTATTATTTCACCTAAGAAAATTCTTGTTTTTGCTCATTATTGACGGAGATCGAGAGGCTGAGAGAGAAATCAAAATTTGTGTTTACAGGAGCGAAAAAATTGTGTTGGATTGAGTTTTGGATGACTTTCATCAAGTCTCACAAACACTATGAAATTCAATCAAAAGAAGACTTCTTCAACTCTATTATATCAGACATCTTCTTTAAGTACTCATAAAAACATAATTTTCTTCTTCTTTTTAAATAATAAATGGTGTAAATTAAACTGTTTTTTGTGTAATTTCTTTTTCGAACTGATTGGGCTCACAGGTAGCTAATACCACTACTAAAGAAAAGAAAAAATAATCATATCCAAATTCAATTTTAGTCATCTGCTTCGAGCAAACTTCTTAATTATTGAACCTCTTTTATATATATACTTATAAGATAGTTTTTATAGTGTACTAAGAAAAAAAAATACATTATAATGTTATTGAAGCATTCTGGAGTTCCTGTTTTTAAGATTTTGTTATCCAAATATTGAAATTTGATTCTAGTCCGTGATTATTATAGTTTTTTCGTCATTTGGGATCTCTGGTATAAAATTAGTATATGTCAAACTTTGAGTAACTACAAAATTGAAAATTTGGTTAGAAAAAAGTCCGCTAAAATGTGATGAGTTGGTAATTTATCAATATCATACTCTTATTCGTCAATTAGCATTATGTTTTATAGGTAATGAAGAAAATTTTAGGTCATTATTCTCTCCTGGGCAAAAGTTTCTTGCAAAATGAAGGATGAATGATTTGGCGCAAAACATTATTAAAATACATTGGTGAGGAGTTAACGTCCAAAAATTTGCATAGGTGTTCCAATGGCTCAATAGACTAGAAGATGAGATGTTGTCTAGAAACATCAGTATCTTCGATGATCAATCGATACAAATGCAGGCATCATTGGAATAGAAAAAGATTAAGCGGCATATCAATTAGAACTGGATGTTTCCGCATCGATGGAACACTGATGCAATGCAAGCGAAATACGAAAGTTTAAGGGCAAAAAAAAAAGTCTTACTTTGGAAGGTTTTAATCAAGAAATTGAGATTTGTATAATTGTGTATTATAATTTCTACCCAATTGTGTATTATTCATTATTGCAAAGTATAAGTTGGGGTTGTTTCCATTTCTCTCGACGGGGGAAGTCACTATTAATTGGGTTGAGGAATTATCCCAAAGATCAATCAGTTCACACATTGAGCTTACAACTACTTTTCTTAAATAATTATTCCACCTTACGCATATTGCACTTGAGGGATGAGATTAACAATTTTCATCATCTATCGACAGAAGCAATTCATAAAGTGTGGTTGAGATTCAAGAAAAAGGTCTTGTTAAGTCTAAATTATGGGCTATCAAATAAAGTTTTAATACAAAATATTTTGCCGTTCTTTGGATGAGGTCAAACAACTTAGATATAGATTTTATATGGACCTAACTTATGCCTTAGTCACCGTCCTCATTGGTCAAATGATCAAGAGAAATAAGACATGGAATACTAGAGACACTGAACAACCTCTGGGTGTAGCTGCCAAGTACGACGAATGAGATGAGAAGAAAAGAGAAAGAAAGAGAAGAACAAATGACAAAGTTGATGACAAGTAGAGCTCTTGGACAAGCATATGTTGCGCACCGAAATAAAGTGTTAATGTCATTGGGTTACACATTGTTATCTAATGAAGAAGATATTATTTATGCTTCATATGATGAAGAGGTAAGATTGATGTGTCGCAAAATCTTGGCACATTTGATGCTTGAAAACTATGAATTAATACTATAATTGAATGTATTTTTGTATACTTTGATGTGTTTGTTGAATGTGTAGACAGATTCTTGTTTGTGTAGAAAAATGGAAAAAGAAGTAGAAAATCATAAGGATCAAGTAAAGATCATGACTATCCTCACGAACCGTGATTCTCATAATATTTTGTAGTTATGCTTGTAAAGTTGAACCAGTGTTTGGGCCTTGGGAAGATGGAGTGCATGAGTAACTAAGTAAAAACCACAGAAGGCTCCACAGGGTCGTGGTCACTATAATGGCTCGTGGTGGTGATCGTGAAGATGATCCAGTACTTAGACCTCGAGAAGCTTGAATTGGAAGTGACCACGTGAAGATCACAGGCACCTTTACGAACCGTGGTCAGTGCTTCGATCTGTGATGTTGTTTGTAGTACCCTTTCCAGTGTGATGTCAATGAAGACCCAACTTTGAAAAATTCCAAATAAAGACCACAGACACCTAGATGCATCGTGGTCATGTTGTCTGTGATGCATGTTCCAGTGGCCAAGTATTGAGGACCCAATTCTGGGGAGTTCCAAGGGAAGACCATAGAGGGCATCACAGATTGTGAAGCCCTTAACGGGTCGTAGAGTTGTCCGTGAAGCCCTTAACGGGTCGACATGAGTCACCCATGACACCTATTTTGGATGTGGAGTTGTTTGATATGTGGGGATCGACTTCATGGGACTATTTGTAAGCTCCTACGGGCAAAAGTACATATTAGTTGTAGTGGACTATGTGCCCAAATGGGTTGGGTAGTTGTTTTGCCTGAGAATGATGGAAAGAGATTTATCGATTTTCTTGAAGAAGAATATCTTCTCAAGGTTGTCATACCCAGAGCTATCATCAGTGATGGTGGTTCTCATTTCTTCAATAAGGTGTTCGGTTTTCTTCAAGCTACATATGGAGTTAAATAGAATAAGGTAGCAACAATTTATCACCCACATACCAGTGGCCAAGTGGAGGTCTCCAACAGAGAAATTAAAGTAATTCTGGCTAAAACAATGAATGTCAATATGACAGATTAGGCATGGAAGTTAGATGATGCTCTATGGGCATATCATACAACTTTCAAGACGTCTATTGGTATGTCTCCATATCAATTAGTGTTTGTAAAGATATATCATTTTCTGGTTGAGCTTGATCATAAAGCATTATGGGCTTTGAAGATGTTGAACCGTAGTTGGAGTGAAATCATGAACCTGAGATTAAATCAGATCAATGAGATAGATGAGTTCTATCTGAGAGTCTATGAGAGGTTTGCACTGTATAAGGAGAGGATGAAGTTATATCATGACAAACATATTGAGAAAAAAGATTCAATCCTAGTGATTTGGTAATTCTTTTTTAACTTCAAGCTTCATCTGTTTTCGGGTAAATTGAGATCCAAATAGTTGGACCTTTTAAAGCTACTCAAGTGTTTCAGATGGGTGCTATTAATCTTGAAAATGACAAGCGCGAGAAGTTCAGAGCCAATGGTCAGTAAATCAAGGCATATTTGGGTGTTCTAGAGGATGTGAAAATCGTGGAGGAATGTAAACTTGATGAAATCTGAGTAATCAAGTAACCCGCATCACACTGCGACTTTAAATTATGCAACCCAAGATGTAATTGTATTAGGTATTTTCCTTTTTCCTTATTTTTCTTTAGTTTTATAGAGTCATTATGTGTTGATGTGTGCTGGAGAGAATGTCTTCAAAATTGCAAGAATAGGGTGTAAACTACTCTTCACAGGAAGCTTCAAAGACTATGGTGCCCGTCACGGGCACTTTCACGTTCTTCCGTCAATCTTAGCACCAACCTAAAGGATCAACTAGAATTTACAAGAAAAAGGTTGACGAAAAGGTTCACGGTCCGTCATGATTTGTATGGCCTCTCGTGAACCACATGTAAGTATTTTGTCCCAAGTCATGTTCACGAACCATTTCACAGACCGTGATGCTCTTCATGGGAAGTTTCACAGTCCGTCATCTGTTATCCAGCAGCACCAGACCCAACCGGACCCACGATGAACCTAAACTTACAGGAAACATATATTAGATTCCTAGGCGCCAAATGTTGGCTTCTTACCCTTATTTTCTCTTCATTCTTTATCTTATAACAGTTACTAGGTATAACCATTTCCTATCATAAAAACAATCTTAGTTCCTCAAAGAATTCAAACCCTAAACTAAAGTTGGTCAAGAATTTCAAGTCAGGTTCATCTTTACCTTTTTGAGGGAAATTTTCTTTTAAGTCCAAGTAAGTTTTTTCTACCTTGTTATAAGTTTGATCTTATATAAAAAAAACAGTTACATTCACTTCGATTTAGTCGAGTTTATCATGTGTATATGATGAACTATCTTGGTTGATATTGAATTATTGTGGGTTGCAATAAATTAAGTGTTCTTGTATCTGGGTATGATTACAGTAGGTAGTAATTGTGTGCTCACTGTTTTTGATTAAATTGGTTATGATTTTTTTTAGGAGGGTTAGTTGAATTTCTGGATAAAAGTGTTGAGTGGTGGATATGTGTTGATTGTGATCTTGTGGAAAAATAAGGGTTTGACACTATAAATATTTCTTATAGACAATGTGAGGAAGACGGTTACTAAAGAAATGGGTAAATGTATGATCACGATAGGTTTAACGAACCATGGAAGCTACCATGAGTCGTGAAACCAATCGTGGACGACACTTGAATTCATTCCACCTATTAGAAAAGTTCATAACCAGTATCACATATTGTGGTTCACTCCATGGGCTGTGTAATCATCCGTGAACATTACTTAGTCAACCCTATGTTTTATTTTTTTTATATTCTTATTTTGTTCATCTTTTGATTTCGTGGACCTTTCCAGTGATAGATTGGGTGACGACATTCTTAAGGCAAGCCGTCACGATGTAATTACATAGGGGAGATCTGAGTATTTGATATTATGTCATTTTATTGACTTGCGTAACTAATTATTTTTGTAATTCTCAGGTACTATAGCTCCCCAAAGAAAGAACGCAGCCAAACCTACCCCCTCCTCTCAATGCTTCTCAATCATAGGATCGTGATAACTCCAATTCTAGTAGTTTTGAGGTGCAAATAAATACCACCATTGATGATCACTCACCTTGGTCTACTAGAGCACAGACAAAGAGGAAAATTCTCCAGGACACTCTTCCCTAGTCTGAAGAGGGTAGTAGTCATTTTGTTAGCAGTGAAGAATCAGGTAGTGAATATAATGTGGGCTCAGGTAGACAGTCCACTAATAATTTTTGGGGCAATGCTAAGTCTGAAAGTGGCTCTCAGGAAGATCCAAACACCTCTCCACCTGCGGTAAATACAAAAGCTGAAATTAGAGTATAAGATGAGACAGATGATATACATGAGGACATAGAGATCACCATTGATGATATCATGGTAATATATGTGAACATTCACGAACCTGATCCCGCAGCAAGACAATAGTTGATTGATTGTTACCGTTCCATGTGGAATGTGAATCAGTCTAAAGAATTTTCCAACAATGCTATCGTGGCCAATAATGGCAGCAAGAAAGCTGATATCAAGGCATTCCCCGAGATTTATCGGACATTATAGTTCCATCAGTTCGATTGGATGAACAATGCATCAAGAGGATACTCTAACCACCTAGACAAAGAGCTTTATTCATCTTATACAACTACACTAATGAAGTTTGTTGCCATTTTTTGAGGTCCACTCAACTCAATTATAGTTCGGGGAAAATGGATAGATATCTCTAAGGCTAGTATTAACAGGATGTTTCATGTCCCGAAATACTCTTTACTAGATTCAGTTGGTATTTTGAGGGAAAACATAATTACAAAAGATTCACTATATTTTCCAACCAAGGTTTGGTGGATTGTTATCCATGTGCAATTGAGACCGACAACTAATGATAACACATTGCCTCCTTCACTGACTTCTTTGGTAGCATGCCTCATGGATGGTTACCCGGTAAATGTGGGGCTCATCATAGCGTCCAAGTAGTGAGACATGGCACTAAATGAGAGGCTGAATTTTCATTTCCCAGTCTGATAAGAATATTATGTCGACAAGCAAACATTCCCCCAAACAAGATGGTTGACAGATGGGGTGAAGCATTCAGACTAACCCAGGTTTCTAAAATCAAGGATTTCGCTAACCATCTTTTTGGTGCAAGTCTGGAGATGTGGGTATTTTGGTCACCGTTCCTCTTGTCCCAATTGATATTCCACATGAAACAGAGGGCCAGAGTAGGGGGAGTCATCCCAAACATCTACAGAGGCACCACCACTATCGACTTTCGCCTCATATGCTCCGGGTACCTATGTCACTATTCCCATGATTTTTCTTGAGAAATTGGTCGTAGATCAGCACCAAACTAGGACCTTGGTAGACCAGATTGTGAATTAGATGGTTTGGAGAACTTTGTTCAAGATCATTTCCAGGCCACAGATGCTAAAGAGTTCAAAGAACAAATAGCCTAGATGCGAACTCAGGTTTCTTAACTGGATGAAAATCCAGTACATGTACCCACTCCGGTCATGCTAGATTCTTTGATGAAATTGCTAAATTAGGCACCCTCCACTTAATTATTTGATGATTTATGGGGTAACTTACCTAAGCGTGAGTCAGACAAGAAAGAAAAAACCTAGAGAATATGATGATGAGCTATCAGCTGACATGTCTAGAGAAGAAAGAAAGCAACACAAGAAAGCATGCAGGGCATCAAAGAAGGGAGCTCGTGAAAAAAGCACTTGAACAACAACAAAGAGATGCAATGTTAGTTGGGGATTCTGGTAGCAGAGCACCTATCTCGGTGAGCTGAAGCCAACCTGATCATGTGCCGAATTCTGAGAGTGCACCCCTTGATATGGGTGTCAATGCTGATTTGAGACCGACGCCTAGAGCGTCGTAGGTATGACTCCTCTTCATAGCCTTATTTTGTTTTGTTTTTCTTTATTTGACTTTGAGGGCAAAGTCCTTTTTTGGGAGGGGTGAGTAACCTGCCATTTTAAGGTGTTAGAATGAATGGAGGTTGACTCTCTGTTAATTGTGAAAAATAGTTTTGTGTTTGTGCTGGTGAGCTGAGGTATGCAACAACTGGTTTCTGTGTAATATTTACCTTGATCTGAGATTTGAACGTTAGGATCTTTATTGACATCTAGATACTTACTTGTTGAACACTGCCAGTTTGATAAATAAATAGGTGAACCAAGAAGCTGGAGAATGTAATCCTGTGTCATGTGTGTTTGTGAATGTTGTTTGAAGTCTAACACTAGGAGCAGAAACTAGAACTTGCCCGAATTGTCTAGCTTAAATCTGAGAATAACCTGATAAGAAAGGATCAGTAGATCATTTTTGTTAAGCCATTAAAAATCCCAAAAAAAATAAAATAAAACAACCAAATTAAAGCTTATAACTTGAAACTGATTTGAGACTAAAAGTGAGATTTTGTTCTTACCCAATAAATATCATATCCTTTGGTTTTCGAAGATACGATGTTACAACTCAGGTCAAAATTCTAAGTTGAGGGTGATTGCAATCCGAGCAGAAAAAAGAAGTGAAAAAAAGGTTCAACCATTGAGTTGAGTGCATACAAAAAAAAGCCATATATATAAAAAAATTTAAATAAAAGAAAACAAGAAGAAAAAAATAGTTGGTAGATATGCTCAAATGAAGTAAAAGAGGGAATTGCTCAGAAAGGAGTTGTGTGCAAATGAAACTTTGAAGAACCAAAGAACCAGTCAATCACAAATCCAAATATCATTACCTAGTCGGAGACTATGTTACAAACCGATAAAGTCCAACAATGATCCTATTCCGCATGATTGAAATATAGAGTACAGAAAGCAAGTGCAACCCTAGGGTTGTTTGTTGTTAGTGTTAGAATTTCTTCGAGAGTGTGAGCGTAGTACTTAGTCCCAATTATCATGAGTGAAGGATTTCTTTGGTGTGAGGACACAATGATTGCATTCGAGAGTAGATTGTGTTAGCTGATAATTCAGTCATAAGCATGATTAACCGTAAGTAATGAGAAATCGTAGATTGATCCTTGCATGTTAGATTCATGGTTTTGGATACAATTTGTGTTTGAGATGGCTATTGTGTAGTTTCAAAGTGTTTGAATAATTTGAGGATTTGAATGTGTTGTTATCTTATCATTTGAGGACAAGTAATGGTTTTAAGTTGAGGGTGTTGATGTGCCGCGAAATCTTGACACATTTGATGCTTGAAAACTAATACTAGAATTGAGTGTATTTTTTTATACTTTGATGTGTTTGTTGAATGTGTAGACAGATTCTTACTTGTGTGAAAAAATGAAAAAAGAAGCAAAAAATGATGGGAATCAAGTAAAGATCACGGCCAACCTCAGGAACTGTGATTCTCATAACGCTCTGTGGTTGTGCTCATGAAGTTGAACCAATATTGGGCCTTGGGAAGATGGAGTGCACGAGCAACTAAGTGAAAACCACAGAAGGCTCCACGGATCGTGGTAATTATAACAGCCTGTGGTGGTGATCATGAAGATGATCCAGTACTTAAACCTTGAGAAACATAAATGGAAAGTTACCAAGTGAAGATCTCGGGCACATTTACGAACCGTGGTAAGTGCTATGATATGTGGTGTTGTCTGTAGTACCCTTTCCAGTGTGATGGCATTGAAGACCCGACTTTGGAAAATTCCAAGTAAAGAGCCCAGATGGACCGTGGTCATGTTGTCCGTGATGCATGTTCTAGTGATCAAGTATTGAAGACCCAATTTTGGGGAGTTCCAAGGGAAGACCATGGAGGGCTTCACAAATCGTGAAGCCCTTGACGGGTCGTAGAGTTGTCCATGTTGCCTGCATTTCATTCCTACTCTTTCTAAAATACTTTATTTGAATTAATTAGGTCATTTTTATTTTTTTGTCTCTTCTTACCATGAACGAAAAATACTTTATTTGAATTAATTAGGTCATTTTTATTTTTTTGTCTCTTCTTACCTTGAACAAAAAATACATTTCCAGTATTCGAAGTTTTGGATTTTTGATTTGAATATTGAATTAAGTTTGAAGTTTGATTTTCTAGCTCTTGAATTATCAAAGTGGTTGTTGATTTGTTTTTTCTCGTAAGTACTTTCTAACATGTTTTCAATCTATATTTTTGAACATTTACTTGAAATAGTAAGTAGCTAAACACCAAAACTGGGGTTGTGGGATCCATGACGTAATTCTAATTATGATTTGGTAAAATGAGTGAAAAGCAATGTGTAATTACAAACTATAGTTTAGCTTTCGTTATTTATGTATTTAGATGAGTGCACGCATTAGAGTGAGCCAGTATCTATCATTTGTTCGAGAGAAAAATGATAGTTACCAAAAAAACTGATTTAACCAAACAAATTGGAGTTAAAGTTCGAGAAAAAATGAAGAGAATTTTAACACCATTGTAAGCGAGGGTAAAATTAGTAACATTCCAGGGCCAAGAGGACTTGAGTAAGAATTATCTGATTAGACAGAGAAGTGTCAGATAAAGTTAACTCGTGTAGATTTTGTAAAGATGAATTGCCTGAAACTCAATTACGCAAGAACACTCTAGCAACGTTATGGGGAACACAATTCTAGTTTCTTTTAATTAGTGAATCAACTTTATACCTTAAGACTCTATTAACTGTTTAATCTGTATTTCTAATGCAAATCTTAATTATTATAACATTAAAACTAAATCCAAGTTACTTTCCGTCATTGTTTCTTAAGGAGATAATAACGACATTCTAGTAAACACGACAATGAAACCATTTTTATAAAGAAATTCTCTGTGGGATCGACCTCAACCCACGTTGAATTTTGTAAATTGACTTCGACTGTTTATATCTCTTAATTGAGGTGTAAGTTTGGACGTATCAAAGATATATGACGAGTTAATAAATGTGTTCTCAATCGAAGTACCAAGGCACTAATCAAGGTCATTGGCATCCTTTGCAAAAGAATCAAGATTGGAGAGATCATGATGGTCAATGAAGAGATCGAGAGTGACGTGAGAGGTATCATGCAAGAATGAAGGAGAGGTACGATCATCAAAGCTCAAATATGTAATTACCTTCACATAACACTAAAGCCCCAGCTAGCCAATCAAGTATGAGTGATCCGGCATGCTCTGAGGGTTGAGGATATGCTAAATTGTGTGCTAAAGTGGGCAGAGTCAATGGATATGGGGTTATGGAACTCAAAAACGATGTCTTAAATTTAATCTTTCTCAGATTTTTACTCTTTGATTCAATGATTAATATGATTTTATTTTTTGTTGGTAGAATTAATTTTTTTTCACTAACTTTCTTGTATAATTTATCAAATATGCCCAAAAAGAGGAATTTTAAAAAATAATTACATATAGCCGAAAAAATTAATTTAAATTTGTTCTCTTTTTCCATTCACTTTTTAGTTATTTCACACATTTTTGCACTAAAAATGAAAAGGAACAAAAAGGGAAGAGACTAATAATCAAAGAGGTCAAAAATAATCATGTCTGAAAAAATTATATATACCCCTATATAAAAAATAAAAAGAAATCACTTTCATTAGATTAAAGGAGGATGCGGGATGGAAAAATTATATGAATTGATACATTTTTATAAATAATTACTGATTTAGGCGATACTTTTTATTTATTATCATTTATAGCAATATTATGTTAAATATGTAAATATGTATTAAAGTGAATTATGTATACAATACATATGAATTACAATTGCTTTTTGAAATATATTATGTTTGTTTGGTAAAAATTTGACACATTGTATTAAAATGTGTGATGAATGTATTATTATCATTAAAACTTGTATTATATGTGAGTAATAAATTGTTCTTTGTAATATGTATTAAACTTATATTATAAATGAATAAAAGTGATCAAGTGAGAAAAAATATTATTACTATACATGTTAAATATTTTTTTATTATAGTATATTTATTTAAGTTTCCTTTTAAAAAATATATATGAACCATTTTTTAGTAGATATACGTGAGTTATTTTTATAACAGCAAGATGTTCATATTTTTCAATTAAAAAGAAAAATCTAATGATTTCCAGATAAAGACCGGAAAATTTTACCAAAGGAAAAACATCAAACAAACAACGCAAAATATATACACTCATTGTTGTGCATCCTAGAAGGAAAAGAATGGAATGCTTGGTTTGGAATCTGTATTAGTATAAGATAAATTACATAATTAAGCCAAAATACTAGATTTTAAAACTTAAAAAGGGATGAGAAAGCTCAACGTATATCATGATTGAAAGAGCACACCGGATTTAATTTGCTGCAATTACGAAAATTAAACCGCAAAAAGAATAAGTGACTGTCCTGAAACACTTGCATAATTAATCTAATTCAACAGAGAAATTATTTAATTATATTTGAAATTGCACTTTGTTTAGAAACTAACACAGCAAAATTATCTAATGTTTGAAGTAAAAGGCAACTTCAAATAAAATACGACAGAAATAGTTTTGTCCATAGAAAAGATAGAGGTAATAAATTCTGCAACAACAAACTTACGAGCTAGTATCCTAATCAACACAAGATGATCAAAGTAATTATCCAAACAGATAGATGATAAATGCAAAACAAAACTTTCGCGGAATCAATTGAGCAGGTTAAATATCATCTGCTGCCATCTCAAACATATGCCTTACAGCTTGTCCTCAAACTCGGATAGAGGGGTCATCTGATCCTTCAAACCCTTCCTCTTGCGGATATCAAGGACGAGTTGATGAGCTTGTGAGCCAGCTTCCAATGGGTCAGAGGACATCATTTCCCAATGATCAAACACACACTGTGGGAAGGCTTGACCTGAAGTAGCAGCTCTCAAGGTACCTGAAAATCCAAAAGACTCAACAACAGGAAGGTAAGCCTTGATGTTGTAAAGAGGAGTTCCTGGCCTCTGCATCTCCTCAAACACGTGTCCACGCTTCTGATTCAGAACACTATAGATACCACCAAGGGCTTGCTCCGGAGCCTGAATTTCCACAAGGTAAACGGGCTCCAACAGGCGGGGTTTAGCAGTAAGCTGAGAAGCATAGATAACCCTCCTAGCAGTGGGAATAACTTGGCCACCACCCCTGTGAATAGCATCAGAATGAAGAACAACATCACAGACTTCAAAGCAAATACCTCTCATGTTCTCTTCAGCCAATGCACCTTCCTTCGAAGCCCACTGGAAACCAGCAACAACAGAATCCTTAATTTCATTCAGGTACTGAACTCCCTTACACATATCCACCACCATGTTGGGACCAGTTGTCTCAGGACCAAAGCACCAAATCTTCTTTGCAAGATCTTTGTCCCAGCCAAACTCCTCAGCCAAGATCTTGGAACGAACCTTAGGGTCATCCCTAGGGCCAATGCGTCCCTCGTCAATAGCCTCAGCAAGCCCTTCCTCCATTGGTCTAGCCTCCATGTACAAACGGTTATGCTTGTTAGGGGACTTGCTCATCACAGTTCGAGTAGACTTCTCGAGGACCGTCTCACGGAAGGACACAACGGGATCAGATTTTATAATTTCAGCACCGCCCATAAAGTCATCCTGCAAATCCTTCAGACAGATCTCAAGGTGGAGTTCTCCAGCACCAGCAATAATATGCTCTCCAGACTCTTCAATAGAACAAACAACCATAGGATCAGACTTAGCCAGACGTTTCAACCCTTCAACAAGCTTGGGAAGGTCAGATGCGACCTTGCACTGAACAGCTACACGCACAACTGGTGAGACAGAAAACTTCATTGCTCTGATAGGGTGAGCATCGACTTCCTTTTCATTGGTCAATGTTGCATTCTTGGTAATAAACTGATCCAAACCAACCATGGCAACAGTGTTACCACAGGGAACATCCTCAACAGTTTCTTGCCTCTTACCCATCCAAATAACAGTTCGCTGGATATTCTTGACATATAAATCCTTCTTTTCACCAGGAACATAGTTAGGACCCATGATTCTAACCTTCATACCAGTAGAAACCTTCCCAGCAAATACACGACCAAAAGCAAAGAATCTACCCTTGTCAGATGCTGGAATCATCTTTGATACATAAAGCATAAGCGGCCCTTCTGGGTCACAGTTCCTGATAGCATTAGCATAAGCATCATCAAGGGGTCCCTCATACAAGTTCTCCACACGGTATTTTTGAGCTGTGGACGGTGATGGGAGATGATATATCATCATTTCAAGAAGAGCAGTACTTGCGGGAAGCCAGGTCTGCATCACACGCTTCATCAGTGCCTTGCCCATCAAATCTTTTTCATCAGATTTCATGGTTACACCAAGCTTCTGCAACATAGGCCAGAGCTTATCTTTCTGATCGTTCATGCAAGTGTTGATAATCTGCTTAATTGGCTCATAGCAGAATTGAACAAACCCACGCTTGCACGAAGCTGTCCCGGTGTTTTTTGTGGTCCACTTTTTGGTGGCAGGGTCAAAAAAGTTCTCACCCCACAGCCTCTCCATCATCTTAGACTCATCAACACCAAATTTGGAAGCATACATCTTGGCAAAATTGGTGAGAGTGAAAGCCCACCCATGCAACCCAGCTGAGAAAGCAACGGTACCTTTCTCAGGATAAACCTGGACATCACCAAGAAGGGGATCCTCATATGTAGCCATGATAACATTAGCATTCTCAATAACTCTTTGGAATGTCTGATAGGCCTCCTCTCCATCAACCTGAAGCTCGAGGAAACACCTGTCCATCTTGTTAACTGTCAAGACAGGACGAATCCTTTCACCAAGGGCCTGACGGAGCACAGTCTCTGTCTGGACACAGACACCTTCCACACAATCAACCACCACAAGTGCACCATCAGTAATACGAAGAGCAGCAGTCACTTCAGATGAGAAGTCAACGTGCCCAGGTGAATCGATGAGGTTGATGAGGTACTCGTTCCCATTTCTCTCTCCCTTGAAGTTCCTCAAGGAGTCATCAGTCATCTCGTAG